GAGAATCCCAAGCAGGCTCTGCACTGTCAGCACAGAGCCAAACATGGGGCTCGAACCCTCAAACTGTGAGATCCTGACTTGAGCTGAAATCAAAAGTCGACGCTTAGCTGACTGAACCCCCAAGCACCCCCACAGTATGAGTTCTTGATGTTAAATTTGTCCGCAAGCACGGAGGCAGCAACTGTGGCCGGTTAGCGTCGCGTTAGCCCCATGGCTGTGCTGTAAGTGGCCTGTATCCGTCCATAATTTGCTTACGGGTTCCCCCTGCTCAGACAGGGGGTTCCAGCTATAAACATTCCACCGAATATCTCTGCTTCTATGGTTTCCTTTTTTTCTGAATTGTTTTCTTAACGTAAACTACCTGGATTGGAATTCGAGTCAGAGGGTTTGGACGTTATCGTAGCCCTCGGTTGGTACATGCTGCGAATTCTTTCCAGAGGTGCATCTGCTAAGACTGCTGCAGGCAGTGCTGCCAGCGGCCTCCAGAGGACGCTGGCTCCACTGCCCGCACGGGGCGGCACAGCCCTTTTTTTCTTTTTAATTCCATGAGGTTTTTAAAAATCGAGATAGAATTCACATACTACAAGATGCACTCTTTTAAATCCAGTGATTCAGTTAGTTTCCAGTATATTTGCAAGTAGTAATTGCAGCCATCGCTGTTCTATAATTCCAGAACATTCTCATCATCCCAAAAGGAAACCATTGTTAGCAGTCATTCCCCACTCTCCCTCCTCCCAGCCCCAGGCACCTCCCAACACACTTCCTGTCTCTCCGCATTTAGCGGTGGAGGACAGTCCATATACACGGGGGCCCGGGCGTCTGGCCTTTCACGCAGCCCGTGGTGTCTTTACGGTTTGTCCCCTGGTAGCGCGTAGCAGTGCTTCCGTCCTTTGTAAAGCTGGATGATGCTCCCCCGCATGGATGGACCACGTTTGCTTAGTCATCCATTGGACGTTTTTGGTTTGTTTTCTAGATCGTTCATTTTTTTAACTTAAAAACTAAGGATGAGGGGTCGCCTGGGTGGCTCAGTCGGTTAAGTGTCCGACTTCAGCTCAGGTCACCTCAGATCTCGCTGTTCGTGGGTTCGAGCCCCATGTCGGGCTCTGCGCTTGGAGCCTGCTTCGGATTCTGTCTCCCTCTTTCTCTGCTCCTCCCCTGCTCTCTCGCTCGCACTGTCTAAAAAGTAAATGTAATAAAAAACATTAAAAAAAAACAAAACTGGAGAGGATCAGATGGGTATCTTGCCGACCGTGCATTTCAGTTACCTGGGAGTTCACTCTCTCCAGGTTTGCCCGCTGCCTGTATCACCTCTTGTGTGAGTTGACTCTTCATTCCTGCGGCCGGCTTTCTCTGCAGGAATTTAGGTTTTCTCAGGCAGTGTGAACAATGTCTTTCTGTCCTGGAGAAATTAGCCATGGATGTGTTTTATGCAACAGTTTCTCCCAGATTACTGTCTTTTTCTTTTTTTCTTAAATTTCCTAAAGTTTTTTTTTAACGTTTATTCATTTTTTGATAGAGACAGAGCGTGGGGGGGAGGGGCAGAGAGAGAGGGAGACACAGAATCCGAAACAGGCTCCAGCCTCCGAACTGACCGCACAGAGCCCAACGCAGGGCTCGAACTCACGGACCGTGAGATCATGACCTGAGCTGGAGTTGGACGCTTAACCGACTGAGCCACCCAGGCGCCCCCCCCCCCGTCTTTTTTTTAGTACAAGTTGTAGTATTATTTACTTACTTATTTTTGGTTTTGTACAAGTTCCACACTTTGATATGGTTGAGTTTTCATCTTTTGTGATTTTTATTGTTTCACAAATTAGACACCTCATTTTCCAGAGATCCGATAAAATCTCAATTTTATCTTCTAACATTCCTTTTATGCTTGTAAAATACTTAGTCCTCTCATCACCGTTGAGTTAATTTGATATATGGCCTAAGAGATGGCTAAAAATTAACTTTTCTGTTGGTTGCCAGCGGTTCCAAGAGTGTTTATCACAGATCCCTTTCTTTCTTCCTTGTTTGTGATGCTGTATCCTGCAAATATTTCTCTTTTTGAGATTTGTTTGTTTGTTTGTTGTAGATATGCTGACCCACTTGGGGACAATATTGCTCTCTGGCTTGCGAGGGAAATGAGTAATTTGGGTTGATTTGAAATACGGGTTCATTTCCTAGGAGGAAATCTGTGTTTCTTCCAGACGTCTCCTCTCGTGCCTCCTTCCTCAAGGTCGGGGGGGACTGAAGGGGCCGAGCCCCCTCTTCCTCTGGGCGTCCCGCAGAGACCTCTCCCTGCCCAGCCAGTAGCTTTGCAGTCTGAGTCTGGACAGTTAGTCCGTGCCGTTGCATTATTTTATTCCTTTAAGTTAACGTTTAATGTGATTCTTTTTTTTTTTTTTAAATTTTTTTTTTTTTTTCCAACGTTTATTTATTTTTGGGACAGAGAGAGACAGAGCATGAACGGGGGAGGGGCAGAGAGAGAGGGAGACACAGAATCGGAAACAGGCTCCAGGCTCTGAGCCATCAGCCCAGAGCCCGATGCGGGGCTCGAACTCACGGACCGCGAGATCGTGACCTGGTTGAAGTCGGACACTCAACCGACTGTGCCACCCAGGCGCCCCAGTGTGATTCTTGAAGCATATACCGAATCAGAGTCTGTTCTCAAATTGGACGGATTTCATTTATTGACGTTCTTTATCAGATGGAAGTTCTTTGCCAAAGCGTGTGTCCTCCGTTTTTAAGGTTGGGGAAAGAATTCTCTTTAAAACTGGAGGCTGCCCTCTCTCTCAAAATAAATAAACGTTTTAAAGAATACAGAAGTACAAAAAATAAAATCGGAGGCTGCCCCAGATAGTGGTTTCTAGACTTTTCTAGTGGGTGACGTGCCAGACGTCCTGTAGTCTGCTTTGGTTATAGCTTGCCTAGGGTCTGAGGATAAACTCGACTTTGCACTACGTCATGAAATATTAACGCAGGTAACTCGGGTGAGCGTTTCACGTCAGCCTCTGCCTTTGTCCTCCAGCCTGACTGGCAGCCCTACTTACCACAGAACGGGGACAACATCGAAGTGGCTTTCTCTTACTCCTCGGTGTTGTGGCCTTGGTCAGGCTACCTGGCCGTTTCCATCTCTGTCACCAAGAAAGCGGCCTCGTGGGAAGGCATCGCGCAGGGGCACGTCATGGTCACCGTCGCTTCCCCGGCAGAGGTGGAAGTAAGTGTGGGCCAGGGAGGGGCCCGTTCTCCCGACCCCTGCGCCGTCTCCTGCCGGGGTCTCGGGGTGGGGAAGCCCGGTCGGAGGACGTGTTGGGCTCCCAGGCCGTGACCCGTGCTCCCCGGGCCTGTAGAGCCGCCGATAAAACCTACTCGGCAGCGGGCGACGCCGCCTCCCGTTCTGTTGCCGGGCGACGGGAGATTCCACCGTTCTGGGCCACGTTTCGGGTCCACAGTGATTGCAGAAATGTGCCTTCTCCAGGAGGGGCCGTGTAGTCTAGGAGTTTTTAGGAACAGGGTGCTTAAATTTTACGTCATAAACTCTTAGACGAAGAATTTTAACGCGACGGGTTTTACGGTTCTTTCTACCTTCGTCGGGAGGAATTCTCGTGTTCGAGGTATTTGCGTGAAATTGGTAGACAGTGATTTTTTAAGCCCCAGAGCCCGAAGGTTTCTTCTGAGCCCAAGGGGCCATTCAGATTTTTGTAAATTTCGTTCAGTCAAAAAGTGGTGCAGAGCAGACGTCAACCGTGAAGCTCCCGATTAAGGTGAAGATCATTCCTGCTCCCGCCCGGAGCAAGAGGGTTCTCTGGGACCAGTACCACAACCTCCGCTACCCGCCCGGCTATTTCCCCAGGGACAACCTTCGGATGAAGAATGACCCTCTGGACTGGTAAGCGGCCGCCACGGCAGGACCGAGGGTCACCGCCCCCTCAGGGGGCCCAACCTCCGCGCGCCCCAGACGTGCTCAGGGCACTCCGTGCTCCTCCTTCCGGACTCCTGTCCTGGGCACTGGAACCCCGAGCTTGCCCTCCATTGCCGTCTTCCCCTACTTCTGCTGGATCCGTCAGCAGATCCTGTCAGCCCTGCCTCCCGGATCCTGCGCTAGGGGCCGCTGCCACCCACCCTGCTCCCCACCTGTCACCCCCGCGCAGGCCGCCGTCATTGCCCGCACGGCGTCCCAGCCTCCTGGCCAGTCTCACTGTGCCCCGAGTCCATTCTCCACGCAGCAGCCCTGGTAATCCTGACAAGCAGAAATTGGGGCACAGTCGGCCTAAAACTCTGCGTGGCTGCCAATCCAGACTTCCTCACGTGCCAGACCCCCTGGTCTGTCCTCCGCCCTCCAGACCCTGCCCCGTGCAGCCCCTCGGCCTGCCCTCCTGGCCTGCCCCCCTGGCCTGCCCCCCCGGGGCATCTGGCTTGGCTGCTGCCGGGCCTGTATGCCAGGCTCACTGCGGCCCTCGTGTGAGTACCGGGGTCTGTGGGGGGAGGAAGGAGCCCCGAAAGCTTGGAGCCGGCCGCTTACAGGTGCGGTGTGCCCTCTGTGAAGACGTTTCTTACTAGAGGCAGGGGGACAGAAGTGGTGAGAAGGTCGTAGGTCGAGGGAAGGCGTCCTGGGGAGGCACACGGGCTCAGCCCCGTGCAGGAGCTGGCTCTGAGGGGCCGGGGCCGGGGGCCAGGCAGAGAGAACGAGCCCTGGACCCCTGGCGCCTCCGTGGGGCGGGCGGGTAGCGGCTTAGGTAGAGGGCACGGTGGGAAAGTGAGCGCGTTCGGGGGGCAGGGACAGGGAGGTGACCGCGGCTGCGAGGCACGGTTCGCGTACTCCCCAGCCGGGGCGGCTTGTCCGGAGCCTCTGCGTTCCCGTGCTGCATCTGGGCGGCGGCTCTTGCCACGGATGCCACCGCCAACGTGACGCTTCGGCGTGCTTTACGCACCAGCTCTTGGGCCGTTCCTCCTCCTCGTGGCGTCTCCTTCGAGCGTGTGCCACATGCACGACTTCCTGTTATCAGCCGTCTTCCGTGCGAGCCCAGAGGATGCTGGTCTGGAGAGGCCGACTTCTTTGCGGGGGCCGGAGCCCCCCAGGCCTCTGCCGGCCGTGAGCCGCGCTCCTTCAGAGGCGCCTGGGTTTCCGAAGCGGCCGCGTGGCTAAGGCTTCGCCGCGAGGGGAGAGGGGTCACCCTCGCGCGCGACTTCCTGTTTTTCAGGAACGGTGACCACATCCACACCAACTTCAGGGACATGTACCAGCACCTGAGGAGCATGGGCTACTTCGTCGAAGTCCTCGGCTCCCCCTTCACGTGCTTCGACGCCAGTCAGTACGGTCAGTGACCGCGAGGTGCCGGCCGCGCGTGGGGAGGTCGGCGAGACGAACCGCGGGGTAGAAGAGGCGGCGAGGGAGCGGGCACGGGGCCTCCTGGTCCTCGGGGGGCTGCAGCGGGGCTCTGGGGCAGAGTGGCCCTGTTCCCGTCTGGTGGCAGTGGTGGTGACCTTCAGGTAAAACGGGACCTGCCAAACTGGGGATGAGGACGTTTGCACGTCTTTTGTTTATCTGTTTATTTTCATTAAACTGGTGCCGCGTTTTGCTTCTCGAGTGGGTGAAACGTGGCTACGTCAGGGGTCACACGTGACACGGAGGCCAGGGTAGTTCGTGGGTGTCTGTGCCTTTGGACCCCGGTCCCTTCTTGCTCACCCCACCCCCTTCTAGAGTGCCTGCGGGGCCACAGACCGAATATTAGAACCTGACAGCTTGACACGTGGGCGCCACCGAAATGCTGTGTTTGTGAAGCAGTGACGCCCGCGGTTCCGAGGCGTGACTCACCACCGGCACCTTGTCCCTCAGGAACCTTGCTCATGGTGGACAGCGAAGAGGAGTACTTCCCCGAGGAGGTGGCCAAACTGAGGAGGGACGTGGACAACGGCCTCTCGCTCATCGTCTTCAGCGATTGGTACAACACGTCCGTCATGAGAAAAGTCAAGTTTTACGATGAAAACACAAGGTACTGAGAGCAGTTGGTATCTGGCTTTTCGGGAGTGAAATTCTTTGCGGCCGGTACAGCAGATGACTGGCCCGCTGGCGGTCCTCCCGGCCGTCGGACGCAGGCTCAGACGCTCGGGCGGCGCGGGCTCTCCTCCCCCAGTGAGACGTTCCCCAGAGAGTCGCTGGCGGATGCCGGGGACAGAGCGAAAGGTTCCTCGCCTTCCCTTGTTGACCTTCGATGCTTGACTTTGGCTTTTCTGCTTGCTCTTTTTCATGCTGTGTCTCTGCTGTGGAATCTATACACGTGTAAATGGGTCGAAGGAACCGTTATTTCAAGGAACCTTCCAGTAGATTAGTTCTTGGTCAAGGATTCCCAGTGTTTTCTGCATGTGTCTCCATCACATCTCGAATTTTCTTCCTCAGAGCCTGCGACTTACTCGCACTTCAAAGGCTCCTTCCTCCTCTCTTTGCTTTCGCGGACCCTCTCAGGCTCCAGGCCCTATGGCGGTGTGCGTATGGACCTGCTGTGCATCGCGTGTAGTAGATTTATCTGGGGTTTATCCTGCACGCTGGCCGGAGCACGTACGCCGTGTTACCACTCAGAGCAGACAGGAGCTTACGGCTGAAACCTTAGTGTGCACGGGCAGGACTCTGCGGGGGGATTCGCTTTGTCCTGAGAACACGGAGCGTCTGGGGGTGTTTTAACCCCTCGTGACCCGCACCCCTCGTTTCTTCCGCAGGCAGTGGTGGATGCCGGACACCGGAGGGGCTAATGTCCCTGCTCTGAACGAACTTCTGTCTGTCTGGAACATGGGGTTCAGCGATGGCCTGTATGAAGGGGATTTTACCTTAGCAAACCATGACAGTAAGGTTTTGCGTTTGTTTTTTAATAGGGGCGCATTCTCTCTTGAGATGCCCGAGTGGAGGCTGTGTGTCTTTGACGTCAGGGTTTCAGAGGGAGGGAAGGGTGTGATGGCTAAAGAAGTAGGGCCGTGGGGGCAGCCGCTGTCTCTAGGAGCGACTTCTGTATTCTGTAGTAAAGCTGGGCGGTAACACCGCTGTTGTTTCATCCAGACTCTTAAAAAGAATATTTTCTGCAGCATTCGCAACCTTAGCGCCACCTGTCTGCTGCTTTACATGCTGTGTGTTCCCAGAGGAAGTACCTCCTGGGCCCCGGGGGAATCAAATCCCATTTACGAAATCACTTTGCACGTCCCACTTACGTTTCCCCACAGATGAGCTTTTGGTAACTGGCTTCTAGAACAACATCCTGAGCATTATTGTTACTGGCTGTGCTCGTCCTGACTGAAAGCTCAGACTTCTCAAGTCTGTTCAGAAACTGTACGTTAATAGCATTTTTAACTTGAATTCCGACGTAATTACTTGTTACTTAAGCGTAACCAGGTGTTAGCAGCCTTTGTCTTAAAAGTAAAAATAACGTTAGAAAAATTATCATATCTGAAAATTATCGTATCTGAAGAGTGCATCTTAGGTCAGTGAGTAGCTCTTGATAAAGCGTTAAGCATCTCTGTGTCACTGTAACTCTGAACTTTCTAGTGTATTACGCGTCAGGATGCAGCATCGCTAAGTTTCCAGAAGATGGCATAGTGATAACACAGACTTTTAAAGACCAAGGTAAGGAATGCTGCTTTGGTTGCTTTCCTTTTTTTTTTTTTTTTTTAAGTAACGGTTTTATTGCCTGTAATTCACATTTGCTTTTTTAATTTTTAAAAATTTTTTTCACATTTACTCTTTTAAGGTGTACGATTCTGTGATCATCGGTGTATTCACAGAGTTGTGCAGCCATCACCGTTGTTTGTTTCCAGAACATTTTTATCACCCTGTATCTATTAACAGTTTTGTTTTTTAAAAAAACTTACTGTGTTGGGGCGCCTGGGTGGCTCAGTCGGTTGGGCGTCCGACTTCGGCTCAGGTCATGATCTCGCAGTTGCTGGGTTCGAGCCCTGCATTGGGCTCTGTGCTGACAGCTCAGAGCCTGGAGCCTGCTTCACATTCTGTGTCTCTTCTGTCTGCCCCTCCTGTGCTCAGGCTCTGTTTTGCTCTGTCTCTCAATAATAAGTAAACGTTAAAAAAAAAATAACTTATTGTGATATGATTTGCATGGTACCTACTTTAGGCAAGACTTCTGGCTGGTGGCTCTGGGGGCTGCAGAGATAGATAAGTTTGAATCTATGTGGACACTGATCACTGCAGACTAAATGGGATTTGCCACAGGAGGGCAGGTGTTGAATATTTGCAGATTTTCTTTTTTATTTAAACTACCTTCAGAGTTGCTTGAAATTTTCGTTACTGTTTGTGAATTATTCTTCTGTGACTGCCAAGATGACTAAAATTTTAGAAGAACGTCGACTGAATTTTAAAGCTCTTAACTGTGTACAGAATATCAATTACACAGTCATCTCTTAAAATTCCCCTAAGAATTGGAAGAAAATAGGGACGCGTGGCTGGCTCGGTCAGTAGAGAGTGGGACTCTTGATCTCTCAGGATTGTGAGTTTAAGCTCCTCCTTGGGTGTAGAGGTTACTTCAAAATAAAATCTTAAAAAAAAACCAAAGAATTTGAAGGAAAGAAAGATCTTCCCTCGCAGTTCTGGTTCTAATGAGGTTTAATGTTTGCTGTAATTAGAAGTTAGGGAGTTGGGGCGCCTGGGTGGCGCAGTCGGTTAAGCGTCCGGCTTCGGCCAGGTCACGATCTCACGGTCTGTGGGTTCGAGCCCCGCGTCGGGCTCTGGGCTGATGGCTCAGAGCCTGGAGCCTGTTTCCGATTCTGTGTCTCCCTGTCTCTCTGCCCCTCCCCCGTTCATGCTCTGTCTCTCTCTGTCCCAAAAAGAAATAAATGTTGGAAAAAAAAAAAAAAAAAAGTTAGGGAGTTGCATTCATTGAAAATGACAAAGCAGAATTTCCTGCTTATCTATGTGCATTTCCAAGATAGAATCTACTTTTTTATTGCCTGGAGGGATTTTTTTCCTTTTCATCGAGGCGAGGTCAGTCTGTGAGCAGATCTGTGTTTAAAAGGTTGCATTTTAACTGCAGGTACACAAATGATTCTGTCTTCCCCGTCACTGGCCGGGTTTACCATGGGTTAGTGGCTCCTTCTGAAGTCTGTCTCTGCCCGCTGGTGGTGTTTCTGGTGCGGGTGTCAGCAGCGGCCTCATCATCAGCCTGTTGCTGCCTGGTTTTGAGGGGAGAGGAATCACAGTGGATGTGAGGGTGCCTACTTTATTGTGTTCTGTTAGTGAAAATAAAAACGAATTACCTTGAAGTCTTTCCTGAGGGGTTCTTTATACCCAGATGACCTTTTAGTTGAATAATCCTTTGGGTACAAAATAGGAATTTGACAATCTGGGTTATGCCGGGTCGAAAGGGACCCTTGTCAGAAACAAACCTGTGACCACGTGGCCTGTTTCGTCGGTTTTACTGCTCTGTCTTTCCCTCCAACAAAGAGAATCTGGTTTTCTCTTCCGTTCTGTTCCTGCTGGGATTATCCACAGAGAGCAGGAAATGCCGTGTCTTTATAGCCGCAGACATTTCAGACGTCACCAACGCGGCAAGTGGCGAGATGACGATGTGCGTCGTCTCCAGTGCAGAGGAAGGCGTTTGCTGCAGGGCTAGACTCTCAGATCACGTGGGTCACCGGCATCTGCCGTCCGCGGCACTTATGCGCCTGTGACTTCTTGATTCGTTAGACGCCGTAACCTCTGTCATCGGATTGGGCAGAGGTCACAGAGCTCTGCTGTTGGAACATTTGTAATTGTGACACAGATATGACAGGTGTCGTAAATCTGCATTTAAAGCATACGGGCGGAGGATCTAAAACGTAGTGACGTTTGTCCTGACTTTGAGTAGTGAAACACAAAGCCGGGGACACGTCGCCAAATCCTCAAAGGTGTGTCTGTTGAGTGGCTGGCCGCCCCTGTGAGTGTAGTCCCAGGACTGAGGCCTGGAGCATGGTCGGAAGGGACAGAAAGCCGCTCTTAGGATTGTAGGTACCCTATATTGCCGTTTCCAGGGAACACGTCAGAGGACCGTGTGGAGGTGAGTTTTGCTAAAACCCAAATTCGTGGCACTTAGGACGTTGTCCTTTGTAAAAGCGCGCACCGTCGTGATTGGATGGTGGAGTTTGCTGTGATTGTCGGTGCTGCACGGGCTAAATGTCAAGTGGCAACTGGAAAATCATTCCTCAACGTTTTTTTGTGGTGCTGTTATTTCAGGATTGGAGGTTTTAAAGCAGGAAACAGCCGTGGTCGAAAACGTCCCCATTTTGGGACTTTATCAGATTCCAGCGGAGGGTGGAGGCCGGATTGTGCTGTACGGAGACTCCAACTGCTTGGATGACAGTCACCGACAGAAGGGTGAGGACTGATGTGTGGCCGAGAAGCAGACTGGGATTCGTGACCATGACATACCCCCCTTGTCCCTGAAGAGGCACCGGTAAGGTGCTGGAAAATAGAGGCCTGCCCGTGAGAGCCAGGTGGGCACGTCCCAGCTGCTTGGGTTGTGTGGAGCTGTGGCTGGGTACCCCTCCCTGAGGAAGCCCCAACAGACCGCATGCGCCGCCTTCCCCTCGTGCTGTCGTCACCAGGCGGGCGGGGGCCGGGGCCGTCGCATTCAGTGGAGTGGCTCTCTGCCTGACCCGCCCCAGCGTCCCCCTCTGGCGTCTGCACGTCACAGGCACTGCCACACGGGGGGCCCTTTCCGGGCTGGACCCGCTCTTCCTGGAGGGCCGGCGCCTGGCTCCCCTCCCAGACTTGGGGATTTGGCTGTCGCGAGCCTTCTTCAGTGGGGGTGTTTGGTACCCCCGTCAGGGGTGGGGGGCTCGCACAGGGGGACTGGTTCTTAGCACCCCTGTTCTTTGTCAGCGTCTCTCTGTGCCGCCTCCGAATTTGGGGGTTTGAGTCTGAACGCAGTTTATGTCTCATATTGTAAAGGAGGAAATGGGACGTAAAAAGTGGGGCGTCTTTGGCCTGGCGAGGCGACAACAAAACCAGGTCCTGGAGAACGGGGCTGGGGAGGGGGTGGGCACCTCACGTTTGCGGATAGGGCAGGTAGGGGATGGCCCGAGCAGAGCAGAGAATGAAGGCCTGGAGCGTGAGCTGGGAGCCGTGTGCTCCTCTCTCTGGGTGAACTTGAGGTTGAATAAATTCCTAGCGTTTTGTGTAAATCCTTAGAACGTGGCTGGTCTTTTTAAAAAGGTTAAAGTCACAGCTGAAAGGAGATTGATGTTTTATTTCCATAGAGGTTTTCTTTTAAGACCGGAGATCTCCTGGTAAGAGTCTTTATTAAAATTTTAAGTGCCGGAGAGGGCTGTCGTGGTTCTAACACTCACGGTGGCAGTGCTCTGAGCACGTGGCCAGAGCGCCCTTGAGTGAGCAAAGTGCCTGCCGGTGTCGTGTGGCAGGGGCCCGTCCGGACCCGCGTGGTGGCAGCGGCTGGGTGTGAAGACACGGCAGCACCCCCATCTCCCGATGAGACGACCCTCCGTGTGGGTGGCGGCCGGCGCCGAGACTCCCTGCGCGTCCCACAGAGTGGCTGACTGTCCCGTTGGCGTGTGTCGCGCGTAGGGCCCACCGGCCCAGATTACTAGACTCTGTACCTGACCTGTCACCTGCGATGACCTCGAACCCACCTCCCAGTGGAGTGCACGCTCTGGTCTCTGCTGTGCCCTCACAGTGCAGACAGGACAGCCACTGGGATTGGCAGGAGCTCTGGTGCCCCATTTCTTTTCTCGCTTGGACTCCTGTCGTCTGAGCCATTCTGTCACAGGGTCTGGCCGTCCCCGAGTGGGCTCCGTTCTGTCCTCATCACCCAAAGCCAGGTGGCGCTCGGGCTGCCTGTCCAGCCCCGAGCCCGGTGGCAGTGACCCACCTGAGCCCTGGGCCGGGAGTGAAGCCCCCAGTCGGGTCCTATCTGTTGTGCTGTGACCGTGTGACCGGGGAGATTGTGCGCTTCTCAAGAATAGGCGATTCCCCGTCTCCCCTCACTCGGGGGGGGGGGGGGGGGGGGGGGGGGGGGGGGCGGGGGGGGGGCCTTTATTTTCCTGTAGGACTTCCTTAGAAAACTCTGATCCCTAAACAGCACGCCCGTTGCACCCACAGACTGCTTCTGGCTCCTGGATGCGCTCCTCCAGTACACGTCGTATGGGGTGACCCCTCCCAGCCTCAGCCATTCCGGGAACCGGCAGCGGCCTCCCAGCGGAGCCGGCTCGGTCACCCCAGAGAGGATGGAAGGTGAGTGAGCCCGTGGGCGCTGGGAACAAGGCCTGGTAGTGGTGCCACGTTCCTCTCCGCCGTTCCCCCGGGAGCAGAGCACACGCTCACCCCGAGGCCCTCACGCTGCCCAGCCCCACAGTCCTCGTTCCCCCTCACAGAGCCCTGGCTCCCGGGGGTCTCTGGGAAGAAGGGCCCGCGTTCTGGGTGCTCACGGGTGCCAGGCACTGGGCTGGGCGGTCGTCACGCGGATGTCCTCAGCAGGCCTCTCAGAACCCGTGAAAATAGAACCCGTTCTTTCCAGTCCTGACCTGGAAACGCAGAAGTCCTGGGTCGGGGAGGAGGGGGTGAGCCGTGGCGACCTGCGGCCTCACCCACTCTGCCTAGGGCAGGGCTGGCCCGAGTGCGCTCAGGTCCTCCCCGCCAGGACCGCAAAGAGGGTAGCGTGAGCCAGGGATCCGGTTCCGCACCTTCTAGTGGCCACGTTGGAAAAGGAAAAAGAAGCAGGTGAAATTCATTTCAGTGAAATACGTTGGCCCGGTTCACCTGAGTGTTACTGCTTAAACGTGTGACGTTCGACCCGTGTCGCTTGCTCAGTAGCCGCGTGTGGCTGCAGCACTGAACGGTGCAGATCTAAAAAATAGGAAATTTGGAAATGCAGTTTTTGCTTTTGCCTGAGAGTTAAATACTCCAAAAGAGGAAGACGGTCTTCGAGAAGTCTCTGTACAGGTTAGATTCCTCAGGTACAGCCTCGTGCCTGTGTCTGTGGTCAGTAAAGGTCGCCAGGCCCCTGCCCCGCGTACTGTGGCCACCGTAAAGGGAGTGGCCGTCCTGCTCGCTCACTCTCGGTGATCACCTGTCCCCGGAGCACCGCTCAGCGCATGCTCCCCCAGCCTGGCAGACAGGTTCACTGGCGCGTAGCAGGCCCGTTGGCAGGGGGGTCTTCCCCTTCGTGTCCTCCTGACGGCCGTGGTTTTCTGTTGTGTTGACTCTGCCGCAGGGAACCACCTGCACCGGTACTCCAAGGTCCTCGAGGCCCGTCTGGGAGGCCCGGAGCCTCGGGCCCTACCTGCCTGTCCACACCTGTCATGGGCCAAGCCACAGCCTTTGAACGAGACCGCTCCCAGGTGAGTGCCTTGCTGTGCTTTTCCGCTCCTTCGTCGGGGTTTATGATTCGTGACTTTTTTTTTTTTTTTACGGGGGAGAGTGGAATTTTACTGACATCGTTATCAAGTAATCAGATCTTCCAGCTTGTCATCTTGTGATGATATTTAAGTTGGCGAGCCCCCGTGTCGACCTTTACAACTGTGCTCTCTGGTGGCATCCTGCCTAAAGAAGTGCTTTGGGTAATGAGCATTTTGTTAGATTCGGTTGATTCCTGCTTAAAAAGCTGAGGTCTGACAGTGCTGTCCCTTGAACAGAAGCTCTGGCTCCTCCGGCTCAGGGTTCAAGAGTTGAGCGCTCCCTCTTTGTGATGCGGGTTCTGGAGCGCCGACAGGTCCTTCTGTCGGCCCGAGGGGCCGAGGCTGCTCAGGGTAGGGGTGCAGCCTGGCCCGCGGCGTGTCTGTGCCCTCACCCCGGCGCCCGGTGTGGTCCCCGAGGGAACGACTCCTGCCACGACAGGGTCCTCGCCGCACCTGTGGACGCGGTGTCCAGACTTGGCGAACCTGCCCGGTGCTTCATGACAGTAGCTCCGTCTGCCTCTTCATCCGCCTCCCTTGCTTTCCGAAGCCGCAGCTGGAGTTACCCCTGCCGTTCCTCTCCGGGCACAACAGCCAGCTCAGCGCGCCGGTTCCCGTGTTTTCTCCCCGACTCCTCTCCCTGTTTCCGGCAGGGAGGATGCGGGCTTGTGCTGACGTGGGGTCGTGGCGCAGTGAAGCAGGCGCCCGTGTCCCGGGACAGCTTGGGGGGCAGACCTCCTACGAGTCTCCTTCGAGTGGTGCTGTGGGAAATCACCCCGCCCCCAACCCCGCGGGCGGCACGCCTCACGCGCCCGGCCGCTCAGGCACCCTCGCCGGGCTGTCCGCCGAGCTTGGATCTCGGCGGGCACGGGCACTGGGGTGGCCGGGGACAGAGGGCCACCGTCTGCTGTGAGCCACCAAGAGGAGGCTGTCCGCACGTCCTCGCAGAGCACGGGGCGCACTGCTCCGCTAGAACACGCTCGGCAGAAGAGTGCGGGGTCGGAGACTCCTCCTGTCTTCGTCAGCTGCTTCTTCCCGGAACTGATTATGGAGTATTTTTCCATTCCAGTTATCATCCCATCGTTTAATCGTTTCTGATAAGATTCCATTTTTACATCCCACTTATTCATAACCTCCCACGATCCTAGCGTCCAGACCAGACTTCGGTTCCAGCTGCGGTCAGCAGTTCCCACTGTGGACAGTGTTGGCCCAAGTTCCCACAGCCCGTTTTTTTTTCCCCACGCTGCTGTTGGGGACTCAGAAACAGATAAGCCTCGCTTGGTCTGTATGCGCGTCCACGTCCGTAATCTGTGAGACGCCAGCCGGCTGTCGGGAGGCGTGCGGCGCCTGGGCGTGGCCAGCCCCTCCGGGGATGGTTCTTAACACGCCCGCTCGGCGCAGCCTTGTCTCACACTTCGCGTCCCGTTGAAAATCATTCTCGGTCCCCAGAGACCTAACTCTGGGTCTCGATTGTGAAGCTAAGAGACGTGAGACCGTGTCGGGCGGCTCCAGACAGCCCCTGAGAGGCCTGGTGTCCGTCCGCCCCGTGCCGAGTGCACGCTTCCGTCCGTCTCTCACGTGAAGACCCATCTCTTGGTGTCTTTGCCGGACGTCCGGTGTCCGTCCCTAGAGTGGCCGCACCCGAGAGGGGCTGTGGGCAAGGTGCCCCCCCTCCTTCCATCAGAGCGTCACCAACTGCTCAGGCGACGGTGCGGCACAGCCCGCCGTCTGCACGCTTGTTCAACGAGGCGGTGCCGTCCCCAGATAATTAAGTTCTGGAGCTGGATCTCACTGTCAGGAGGAGCACACAGCCCCGCACACGTCCAGCTGCAGGTCGCAAAGCTTCCGTGGCACCGATCCCATAACAGTGTTGTGAGTTTCATTTTTGGACTCATGAGACCTGGAACATACGCTCAGATCCTGGGAGGCGGAACAGACCGTTGTGCTCACTGGCATCCCGCCAGTAGGTGGTGCCCAGGAAGCCCCTGCCCAGACTCGCGTCGCCCCGTGCCCCTTCACCCCACCCCCCCGGTGCCCAGAGAGCCGGGTGTCTTTGCTTCCACTTGGCCGAAGTGAGAGACCGGCCTTTTCCAGGAGAGGCAGAAGCAGAACGGGGAGTTCGTGGTCTGCAGACACCCTTTATTCCTTTCCCTGAGCTGGCCAGAGCGGCCTTCGGACGGCCTGTTTGCGCCGTCGTCTGCCCCCGGCGCCGGCCCCCCTCCTCTCCGGGTGTGGTCCCGCCAGCTCGGCCCGCCTCGGGGTCAGGAGCAGGAGTAGCAGCGCTGCCGCCGCTGCGAGCCCCGCACGGGGACAGAGCACGCGTGTTTCCTTCCTTCACGCCCGGCCCGGCGGCCCGCCTCTCCCGACTGCTCGCTGCCGCTGCCGGGTGGTGTTACTGTCGCGGTGGCCGTGAGGTGAGGGCAGAGGCGGGGTCTGGCTCCCGGCGTCCCTCAGAGGGCACGCTCCCCCGCAGAGACCTGCACGTGCCTTCGGCCGCCCGGGTCCCCGAGCCCCGGCTCCGGCTCCCGTCCTCAGGCTCCTTCCAGAGGCCAGCGCGCGCTTTCCTCTCCCGCCGCTCGGGGACGTGGCCGCTAAGCAGAAACAGGCTCTTGGGGGCCCGTTAGGAACCCAGTAGGACTGAGCCCCGCTCTGAGTGCTAACAGCTCGTGTACACGGAGTTGGTTCTGACATTTCTGTCTTGGGACCTGGAAGCTGTCCCCGGTGCGCACGCAGCTGGACTTGGGTGTCGATGGGACGTCGCTTCGCTTTTCTCTTTAAAGCAGTTGTTATTCCTCAGGCATTGACTGAGCTTCGTAGGCTAGTGCAACCGCTTATTTTTATCTTGTTTTAATCCATTTTCCTGAAGTAATCTTTGGAAACATCAGAAGCTGCTCTCCATCGACCTGGACAAAGTGGTATTACCCAACTTTCGATCGAACCGCCCTCAAGTGAGACCCTTGTCCCCCGGAGAGAGCAGTGCCTGGGACATTCCTGGAGGTCAGTTCTTCGGGGCTTCCTTGTGCTAGAGCCTGTTCTGGTTTGTTCCGGTACCCCCCCCCCATCCCCCGCCAGGTGGGCCAGAAGCAAGCCTGAAACATGAACTAACACGCCATGATCCCTTCAGAACTTTCTGCCTGCATTTTCAATATGAATTTCTTTCACGATAGCCACGAGCTACGCTTAAACTTTTTGCGGTAGGGTAATTTGCATACTCTTGTTAAAGTTTTGCAAACAAGGGTGTATTGTGTGTCCCAGGGAACGCCTGCCATCTGCTGGTCTTGGTCCCAGCCAGCGGCTGACCCACCCTGGTTCCTGAACCGTTGGCGCAGAGGTCTCCACAGATTGTCTGGTCTGGCCCACCTGGGATGGGGCTTTACTAGGCTGGGATCCTCCATTGAAAGTAGCTTTGTGTCCCTCAGTTGCTCTGACGTGGCCCCTCGTTCCACATGACACGGAACGTCCCCTACAGGCAGTGGCTTAGGGACCGGTTTTCCCTTACCCGGTCCTTCCAGCGTGGCGTGGGCAGTTTCTCTCTGGGGATCCCTGTGCTCCCCCCAGAGGTCGCAGCCTCCCAGGGCCTACTGCTTCTGGGAATTGGCACCATAGCCCCTGTGCTCCAACCCTGGGAACTTTGTGTGGTGAGGCCGAGCTCCTGAGGGCCTTGCCTGGAGTCAAGGGGTGCACTGATGATGGTCCGTTCTGGAACCCCAGCATCGCCCGGTTACAGAGTCATACTGACAAACCGGGGATCCTCCAGTGGCCGCTCTTGTTTTCTAGCCTTGTGTGCCACGTGTGGGAGATTTTCCCAGGGGTCGGGGGCTCGGCCAGCCGTCCTGCTCCCTGCCTGGCCTCCCCGCTCGCCCTCCCTCTCAGCTGCTCCGACACCCGCACCTCCTCTCCTCCCCGGCGCCCACGCTTGTCCGTCTGCCGGCGCACTTAGGGGAACAGAGCAGCTCCGCGCACCCTCACCGTGGGTCGTGTGTGGTGGGAGGAAGGCCAGTCACGGTGGGCGTGGGGAGGGGAAGGAGCAAAGACCTCGGCCCCCAAAGCTGCTCATCTGGGAACCTGAGGTCACTTCTCCTGAGGTTCGAAAATGACGTTTGCCCCACGGGCCCGGTTAAGCGCAGGCAGCGTTTCGTTTCTGACGCGTCTGCCTGAGACCGAGCCCGTGGCCGTGGCCGTGCGGCTCGGGCGCTGCTGACACTCCCCCTGTGCTCTTGCAGGGATCATGCCCGGCCGCTACAACCAGGAGGTGGGCCAGACCATTCCCGTCTTCGCCTTCCTGGGAGCCATGGTGGTCCTGGCCTTCTTTGTGGTACAAATCAACAAAGCCAAGAGCAGGCCGAAGCGCAGGAAGCCCCGGGTGAAGCGCCCCCAGCTCATGCAGCAGGCGCACCCGCCAAAGACCCCTTCGGTGTGACGTCACACCCGCTGACCGTGACAGCCAAAGAGCGCCTTCGAGGACGGCCGCGACGGGCGGGCGGACTCGCTGTCCCCAGGGGCTGATCCTGCGTCCAGCTGCGGCGTCCGTGGGTCTGTCCTCAGTGGGCCACCCGCGTGCCGCGTGCAGGTGCGTGTCGCGGTGGCCGGGGCCCTGCACGAGGGGCTTGCGGCCCCGCCTCCGGGGAGGCCTCACGCGGTCGCTGCGCACCGAGAGGGAGGCCACGTTTACACAGGTGAAGGCTGCAGCCAAGCGGAACTGTGTTCGTCCGAGGCCGTTTTCTATATTTATTGTTGGGAAAAGTCACTTTAAAGGCTCGCGCTGTTTGGAAACAAAGCTATTTTTTTTGTCCGTGGAATGCGGTTTTTTTACTGTCGCATCACGAGGAATAACACAGATTCCGTGATCTCCTTTTCGATGAAAGGACAGACTGAGATTGGAAGGAAACTCGCACAAATCTGTGAAACACAGACCTTGGCTTTATTTTTATAAGTATCAATTGCCATCCTGTTTTGTAAGTTGGGGTCTTGATTTCACCATTGTCGGTGAAGAAAATTTTCAATAAATATGCATTACCTATATGAAGCTAAGTAGAAGGGTGTAGAAGGCTCTTTTTCCGCCCACCCCGTTTCTCTGCGGACAACCTGGAACGTGTCCGGGTCACCCTGCAGGGGCTGGGGTTTTTGTCGTCCACGTTCATTTTAAGGTATGACTCACGTGCTACACCATCCTCCGAAGCGTCCGATTCGGTGGCTTTCAGTGTATTCGCATGGTTGTGTGACCGTCAGCCCTGGGATTCCAGAACATTTTCATCACCCCCAAAGGAAACTTGTCGTTAGCAAATCAGCCTCTTTTCCTTCCCTCCTGGCCCGTGGCAGCCCCTCACGTGCTGCCTGTCCTGAACATTTCCCACACGTGGGATCACGCGATACAAGGCCTTGTGCTTCCCCTTAGCGTATTTTCAAGACACGCCCGTGTGAGAACACGTCCAGGGTGCGGTGGCGTTTCTGGGCCCGTGCACCAGCCCGCTGTGCAGACGGACCCCTGTCGTGTGTGCGCCTCGGGGGGTAGACGCTGGAGCTGCCCCGCTGTGTGGCTCTCAGAGGAGTCCCGGTGCTGAGGGTACTCAGGTACGGGCTTCTGTGTGGACGCCAGTTTTCAGCTCTGCCGGGTGTGGTCCCCGGGGGCGAGGGGCTCGCCGCACCCTGTGTCGCTTTCGGGGGAGCCGTCAGACTTTCTGGTCCGAAGCGAGCACACCATTTGATATCCCCAGCAGCAGGGCACGAGGCTCGGGTTCCCCGCGTCCTCGCCCTCCCTCGGCCATCTGAGCGCAGCCAGCTTCCGTGTCGGGTGGTGTCTGTGCTGGGGTTTGGACTTGCGTTTTCCTGAAGCTGAACGACGTCGAACGTCTTTGCGTGTGCTTACGGGCGTCTGCGCGTCTTTAGAGGAGTGTCTGTTCTCTAAAGCCAGTTTCAGCTGGCTTTTCTTTATCACAGACCCGTAGGAGCGCCTCGTGGGTTCTGGGTCTGGGTCCTCCTCGGTGTGTGGCTGGCGCATCTGTCATTCTGTTGCTTGTCTTTCCACTTGCCTGGTTGGCTCCTTTTTGAAGCATGGAAGTTTCTAATTGTGATGGAGGCCGTTTTACCCGCCAGGTGCCGTTTGTAGGAACCCAGAGCCCAATCCAAGGGAGCCTGCTGATTTTAACCCTTGCCTGTCTGGTCTGTTTTCTGGGTGCCAGCCGGCTGACCTCGGCCTTCACGTCACAGGTGAGGATGCGCTGACCTGAAGGGTAGAGGCCGTGTGGCATCAGGGTGCCGAGGAGGTCCTGGGAAGAATAAGGCTCAGGCCGAGGGCTGAGGGAGGAGTCACTAAGGCCCAGTGCTCCCTGTGACGGGCCATCCTTGGAGGTCACATTGGTGACCTTGCAGTTCTTAACTGCACTCTGTGGCTATTGCCTCAAGACTGGAGGCGTTGCTTAGGGCCCCACCAAGCTCTCTCTGCCCCAAGCAGCCCCCGGGGCGGGAGCATTTTCGCACAGGGCAGCCTGTGTCCTCAGGCGAGCAGTGACCAGAGGGTAGCGTCGGCCCATCAGAACAAGGGGCTTGTGCACGGTCTGTCATGGGGCTTCTGGTCCCCCGCCTGTCCTCCACAGGCAGGGACGGCTCCCCGCCTGCTCCTTCGCACCGTGAGGGCTGGCCCGTGGCCCATCTTCATCCCGCAGGCCTCTGCGACAACAGGTCCTCCGAATGAGCACGTGGCCTCGGCGTGAGACAGCAGGCTGCGGGAGCTGGGACTGGCTGGGGCACCCAGGCCTTGTCTCAGGGACAGCGCATCTTCAGATTTTTCCAGGGAAGCCTGAAATCTGGAGTATGTTGGCAAATGATTGAATTAGAGAAATTTCTTGTGATTTAGGCTGTTCCTCCATCTCTCTTGCAAAGTTCTCCTAACAGCAATGGCAATGTGGTTGTGGAATGAAGTTCTAGACCCCAGAGCGGTGAGCTGGGACAGTTAATCTCCACGCTGGTTGAAGGCCTTGGGTGCACCTGTCTCTGGCGACTTGGAGGTCTCATCCCTGAAAGATGGAACTTGGATCTGGCAGCGTCTCCTGTTCGCGCCAGGATCCCTCACCTGGCTTTCGAGGTCGGCATTCGCATGTGTCCCTGGCCTTCGGGGCTGGCTCTCCCGTTTAGACGGGGTGGACCTTGGCAGCCCAGCATTGAGCGCTCTCACAGCCGTATCAGGGCACACACGTGTGCAGTTTAGGTTTGGGCGCGGGGTCGTGTAGGTGGGACAGGACAGGAGGAGGACAGAGATCGGACAGGCGTGAACACAGACCGCACACTGAGACCAAGTCACAAACAGAAGAGTCGTTAGCACACCAGGCTTCTCAGGGACGAGCTCCACGCAGGGAACCCGCCTGGGGTCTGACGTGGCAAAGTGAAGTTCAGTAGTGACCACATGAAGACCGTGGCGGGTCTTCAGATAGAGGGTGGCTTCGTAGCATCCTGAAGTTCTGGGCGTGGATGGGGGTGCCCAGGAACTGTCCGCTGTTCTGTGATCTGCCTGCCCAAAGTGCTGCGATAGAGGTGTAACGGAGAAGGAAGGAAGGTGGGTGCTTGCCGGTCTGCTAGCCAGAGGGGTGGCGTCGGGAGCCGTGTGCCAGGCTCGCTGTGCATTCATTTTTCCTCTCCAGGCACAGCTGGGGGCTCGGTGGCGCGGGTCCCACCTCACAGAGGCAGTGGCAGCTGGAGAGGGGCTCCGTGCCTTGCCCAGAAACACACCATTGATGCATCAGGATCAGAACTAAGCCTGAGCGCCTCCCGTCAGGGACAGCGACACACAGGGAGGATGACCAGACGCAGAGGCATTGGATGGAACCGGGGGCGGGGGGGAGGGGGGGTGTGGACGGCAGGGGACGAATGGGGGGGTGCTGAGCTGAGAGAGAGTTCTTCATGGGGGAGCGCTTATCCAGAAAGGGACTGAACCTCTGGAGAAAACCAGTTGATGGGGGCCCGGAAAACACGCCCTCCCCTAGAAGGGGCCTCATCAGGCACTTGCCCTGGGGATGGCCGGGTCCACCCGGAGGCACGTCCTGCAGAGGATGTCCCCACCTGGCGCAGGTGTTGAGCTGCAGCCCTGGCCGTAGCCCCAGGCCGCGTGGAGTCCAGCTCCGCCTGGCCACTCCCCGCTGTGGGCCCTCTCCTCACTGAGTGGCACTCAGGCGTGTCAGGCGTGGTCAGCGACAGACCATCCCGTGGTGACAGACGTGCGTGATGGCTGTGGGCCCGGGCTGGGCCGCCTCCCTGCTTGTAGGGGACCCTTCGTTGCCCTGGTGTGAGCTCTCCTTGTCCCAGAGAACACCTACACCTTTAAAACAATAAAAACGAGCAGTCAGCTCACCCGACCACAGATACACCTGGGATTCCAGGGGGCCCTGGGGGCCCTGAGAGGCAGGTTCATCCCTAACAGTGCGAGCTCCTGGGAGCCAGGCAGGTGCCCTGTCTGCAGGAACCCTGAAGGTGTCGTGTGACAGGAGTGGAAATGGGGACAGCTGGGTGCCCCCGCGCCACCCTCAGCCCCACCTTTGTGAGGGACGCGAGGGTCTGAGGTCTTGCATCTGCCTGTAACCGTCCAGTGCTCCCCCAGGAGGAGGCTCCGCGCACGATGGCCCCGAGGGCACCTGCCCCGGCCACGTGTGCACTCCCTGCGTCTGCTGGGTGCTCACCGCCCGCCTGGCATCGGCCTGTGTCTTTTTTTTTTTTTTTAAGTTTATTTATTGTCGAGAAAGCGCGCACTAGTGGAAGAAAGGCAGAGAGAGAGGAGACACAACCCAAAGCAGGCTGTAGGCTCTGAGCTGACAGCAGAGAGCCCGACTCGGGGCTCGAACTCACAAACCGTGAGATCATGACCTGAGCGGAAGTCGGACGCTCAACCGACTGAGCCACCAGGCACGCCACACCGGCCCATGTCTCATGTGCCTTGTGCCACCTGGGGGTCCCAGCACCGTGTGATGCTGTCACTGCCATTTCTCAGGTGAGGAAACCGCGGTGAGACCAGTGTTCAAAGCCTAGCTCTGACCTGGGCCTGAGGCCCCTCAACACAGGGCTCCTTCCCCTTTCCCTATGGCGGGAAAGATGCCCACTTCCTGGTAACGATGGGGGTGCTACTTAGATTTAGATCTGCTGGACACAAAATGGAGTCCGGGATTCTCATAAATAGATTAAATAGAAGCATCCAGAGAAATAGCAAAATTCTTGCTTTTTTTCTTAACGGTTGGTACTACCCACATAAGCGGATATTAACACACAGGATGTTGGTTTCATCTGTTGGCGGCCCGAGTTTTAAAAGCTCCCCAAGGTGAACCGCTGGCATATGACCCGGCTCTCCCGCGGCTGGGCGTAGACCCGACCAAATCGCAAGCAGGTGTTTGAGCCAAGTGTGTACGTGGCAGCCCGCAGCCACGCGACTCCCAACCGCCAAAAGCCGCAGATGAGCCAGAGGTGCATCCGCAGATTTGCCGAGGAGCAGAAGGTGACCCGCCCGGACGCCAAGGAATGAAGCGTACTGATCGCAAGCCTCGAGACCGCCCTGCTGAGCAGAAGAAGCCTGACACCGAAGGCCCCAAATTGTGTGATTCCAGAGCAGGCAAACGCAGGGACAGAAAGCGGGCGGGGTGGGGGCAGGGACCGCTGATGGGTAAAGGGGTTTCCTTTGGGGGACAAAGGTCCTAGAACGGGGTGGTGGTGATGGGTGCACAACATCGTGAGTATACGGAGTGCCACCTGGCCGCACGCTTGAGGGTGTTAAGGTGGTGGCTTGTGTGTGTGTGACATAACCACCAAAACCCCCACGTCTCCCCAAGGGGTTCTGGTACCAGGCGAGGTGGGAGCCCCTGGCTTGGAGGCTGGGAGAGGCCGTCCGGCCGTCCAGACCCCAGCGTCAGCATGGGCCCAGGGGTCAGAACCCGATGACAGAGCCCCTGCAGGGGCTGGGCGCCCTCCTCACCGCCTTGCCCTTGCCATCGGCCTGCTGTCTGGCTGCTGAACCCCCCCCCGGGCACTTCCTCCTCTGGCTGAGAGGCAGGGTGCCGTTCCCTCCCTTCCCCCAGAGCCAGATTCTGGGATCGGCCCCTCATTAGAGGGAGGGGACAGGACAGCAGGACTTGCCAGGGCCGTGCCCTGGGCCCTGTGTCACCTGGAGGCCCAGCCTCCACTCTGCGGAAGAGCGTGGGGCGGGGGTCCACGGACCTCCAGCCTGAGGGGCGCCGCCATCAGGGCCCGGGGTGCCGGGTGGACCCGTTTCCTGTTGTTGCGGTAACAAGTTTCTGCAAAGTTGTGGCTGAAAACAAAGCATTTTCTCCTGCGGTTCTGAAGGCGGGAAAGCCAGAATCAGTCTCACGGGCTAAAGTCAGGCGTGGGCAGCGCTGATTCGCTCCGGAGGCTCCCGGGGAGAGTCCGTTTCCTGGCCTTTTCCAGTAGCGGGTTCACCCCGCCCAGGGTGCTGCCCTTGGCCAGGGACAGACACACAGACGGTGGGGGAAAGGAGGGGCCACGGGCTCAGGAGCGCAGGTGACACAGGGACCCTGCCTGCCCAGAGCCGAGCTCCTCCACGTGCCTCAGCAGCTCTTGGGGAGCTTTCTGGAAGCCCGGATGCCCGCCACAGCCCAGACCAATGTCATCCGAAGCCCTGAGCCATGTGAAGAGTTCCTCCAGTATTCTCGTGTAGCCGGGGTTCAGAACGCTGTTCCAGAAGCCCAGAATCAGGCCGAGGTAAAGACACATCGGTACCGATGGTGCAGTTTGACACGCCCCGTTCCACACACATCTCTCACTCCTGTGCCGAGAGCACAGAGAATTCTCAGGAATCCCCAGAACAGCCCTGTAGGGTGGGATCTGCTGTGATCCCATGTCACCAGTGGTCCCAGCGAGGCCCAGACCACAGAACCAGTGCACAAAGGGAGCCAGGGACTCTGGCTCCTGGGACCTGCCCTCATCTGTCTTCCAGAACATTCTAACGGGTCTGGGGAAACAAGCGAGGTCACTCTCTCCCTCAAGTTCTGAACCTGTCATGTGGCCCGTACTCTGTGGAGAAAAGAAGGAGCTGGACCCTGGAGAACAACCCTTGATGACAGGCGCTCCCGTGCGTGGGCGCCGGGCAGAGCCGCCACCTGCCTGGCCCACGGAGGCGCCAGCTTGCCACCTCACTGGCTCCCTTGTGCTCCAGAGCCGCCCGCCCACACAGATGGGGCCCCCAGGGCGCCTCTCCACAGCCCAGAAAGGTCACGGCAGCCCTGGGAGGCCGGCAGAGAGCGAGTATCAAAGCGCTTCAGAACTAAGAGGTTTTCCTCCTCGAGTGGAATTTCACAGCCCGGTGGCCAATTTCTAAGTCATGCACGTTAATGGGCAGCTAATGAGGTATCCAGGCAGGGACCTGGAGGTGCCCCAGGCTCGCAGAGCCCAGATTAGGGAGTACAAAGCCAGCCGCTGGTGAGGGAGGGAGCTAAATCATCTCTCCCTGCGCCTCGGGGTGGATGTGGGCGGAGGGTGCGAGCTATGCAGATTTTGAGCCCCAACACGGCTTGGTCTGCGCCCTCCACCTGCCGC